AATGCATGTTTTTTTATTGTGGGGTGCAAAACCTGGACCCGTCAGGGTCGGGATCGAACCCACGACACCTCCTGCATACCAGACAAGGGAGGTAACATCTCGCCATCCTGGTGGCAAGACGAGATTCCTCAACTGGCAACTCTAATTAATCCAGAATGCTGCCACAAGACACCTCATGTACACCTGGAAGAAAAAAATCACGTCGACAATCTGATCACATGACCCCAAGCCAGTAACTCTGACTTATCCATTAACTCCCAATGGCTCCAAAATCACCCATACATTTCGATTTAAAGCTTTCGTGACTGCAAGGATTCATCTTCTTTGGTTCTTTCGGTAAAGTCACGTAGAATGAGAATAAAATAATAAATTGATAAAATAAAATAACACAATAATATTCTCACGACGTTTCGGCCACAACACAAGCGGCCTTCATCAGGTGAAGGGACGAGACTGTCTGGTAGGATAGCGCTGGAGTGAAACGTCGTGAGAATATTATTGTGTTATTTTATTTTATCAATTTATTATTTTATTCTCATTCTACGTGACTTTACCTAAAGAACCAAAGAAGATCACCCATACGGTCAACCCCGTTTCCAGAATGCGCCATGGACCCGCCCCTGCCTACTTCCGCTTCCATCTCCCACTTTATGCACTCCCCTCTTCATTAACTAAATGCACACATCAAAGATCCCAGTCTATTTCTGCTCAATGTGACACCGCTTCTTTTCTCCGTCTCCGCGAAGCATGGAATTCCCTCCCCCTGGCCATCCCCACTGCTGATTCTTTATATGTTCAAGTCCATGAAGTGTTATTCATTCACGCATTTGATCACACTGTCATTTCCATCTCCCCTCCCCCCACGTTGTAATTCATACCTCACTCCCTGATTTTTTACAGCAACATATTTTCGCTATCGTTGACTCTCAATGCGCATCAATTCCCTGATTTTGACAGCAACATATTTCAGGACCCGGTACACCACATCCAGTATGCCATATTCAATGGAAAATTAATTCCTCATTTTATTTAGATGCTTTATTCGTGTTGTAATTGCAATTCATGTCCAGTTCGATCACCACTAGTGCCCGTACATTTTTCTTGTGGAATTTAGACTATTTTAACTGACTGAAAAAAAACACGCAGAAACGTTGACGATTTAACAAAATTCGATGCGTCATCGTCGGTGTGAATACTGCACAGAAACTGCAAGGCACGTTTAAGAAAGCGATATACACCTCAGGTGATGCAAGTGACGGTATCGAGGACTTACCGTCATCGCCTTGCATTTAAATAAACTTCCGAAACCACTGCCGATCTCGGTAATTCTAAGACCGTAGCGATATCGTCTTCATCTACGTCGCTCAAAGGTGCCGGCTATCACCCACTGTCCACACGACGTCAACAAAACTTCGCGGCGGTTTAAATAGCCACTCCCTTTAAATAAAAAAACCCACACACACACGCACTTAACATTCATCACCGACACTAAAAAATGGAATGAACTTAACGGAACGAACCCCCCTGAGATTCCTGGCCCTGCACGTTCGCGCTGAAACGTGGTACTCTTAGCTTTCCATTTCAAATTATTGAGTGCATCTCTAGCATTATCGACTTCTTTGTAGCTGCCTTTTAAAATAAAACGATTCTGCAATTTCTTTATCACAGCACTGCAGAAATGCTGTTTAGTTTTCTTGATTCATTTCTCAAACTCATCTAAATGCAGTGCACGAGCCTGACCTGGAATCAATATTTTACACTGCTTGACATTTGAAGAAACGTCTTGGTACAGGTCAAGAAGATTATCGACTACTATAGCTGTTGTTTGATCTTTTCCATATCCCTTAACGTTGAGGCAATATTTTTGCGGATCAGTGCTATCTCTTGTCGTTATAGTGACATTGCAGTTACTTTTCAGCTTATCAAGATCCGCTTTGTGAACTTCAGAAATGTATTCGACAATAACACATTCCTGCGGAGGGAGCTGGTAGGAACGTTGGGTTGCTCGGTCAATGGCCAGGGTCAACGGCGGCACCACGTGGTGTATTCCGCAAATATGCCCGACTGTGAGGGCGGGCACAAGCCGGCGTGAATAGGTTAAACGTTGAGTTTTATAAGGGCACCACGGGGTGACCAGCCCCTCCCCACCCAGCCCCTCCCCAGCCAGCCCCTCGACCACCCAGCCCCTCCCCACCCAGCCCCTCCCCTCTCCACCCAGCCCCACCCCTCCCATTTTTGGATACACGACGGACGGACGGACACAATAATCCCCTGTGGGCTGGTGTAACCAGGAGGTTCCTACCAGTATAAATTTCTCCCTTTAAAATCTACCAGGCTTGTTTCGGTCCATTTGCTCTTTCACTCCCCCGGCCGCTACGGGGTGGATGTCCACACAACTCTCTCATTGACATGCTCATTTCTGTACACCCCCTCTCTCTCTCTGCCCCCCCTCTCTCTCTATTTAAGGCCTCGATCCAGAGGCGTTGTTTCTCTGTCTATGTGTGTGTTTCTCTCTGTGTGTCTCTGTGTTCTCTCTCTGCTTGTGTGTCTGATCTTTAAAGGTGCATTGAAAAATGTTGATACTGCTACTGATGCTCCTGCTGTTGTGGAGTGACTCATGCAGCCAGCTGTGGCTACAGGATTTGGTGGTACATGTTGTTTATGTCGTTTATTGTGAAATTTCGGTCACAGTTCCTATGATCACTGTTACATTGATTTTATGGCTTTACACTGGTGGTGATTTCGAAAACGTGTTTTGGTTTGGCCATGTTTGTTGTAGTACGGAGTTAGACTGATGGCCTTAATCTAAGTTGTCTTGTGGTTAAATTTTGATTTAAAGCTTTCGTGACTGCAGTAATTCATATTCTTAGTTATTTCGGTAAAGTCACGTTGAAGGGAAACAACAAAATAATAAAATATATATAAAACAATAAAAATTCTCACGACGTTTCGACCATAACACAAACGGTCGTCTTCAGGTGTGTCGGTTTGCATAAAGTTATTTATTTTAAGCGTTTATTTATTTATTTTTAAAAAACGTTAGCGCCACGCGCAGCGATTTGACAGTTTATTTAGACTAGTCCATCTATGTTCTGAAAAGAGGAGGGGGGAGACGAAATTTTTTTTTTGCTGTCTGAAAGCCACTGTAAGCGTGAACAATCAATTAAGACCTGAAATGGTTTATCAAATCTTTCCAATGATTGCTAAGCCAGAATCCATCTTCTCGGTTGAAATTGTCTCTGTGCTTGTATATGTGGATAGCCTCATGAACGAATCTCTCATGGTAGCCAGATGGCTTACAAAGAACCTCTGTCTTGGAAAAGTCAATGTCATGTGAGCCTACTGAATTATAACAATGATCTGTCACGGCCGAGGTGTTGGCCCTACCGTGTTTAAGGTCTGCTTTGTCTTGTGGTTGTTGTTGTTGTTTGAATTGCATCCCACTGGGATTTTTGCACACAGCGTTGGTGTACGGTGCTTTTTTCTGGAAGATTTTGCTGTTTTTCCCTGGATTTTCTGTTTGCGCATAGTCACTTTAAGATGTTTTCTAGTGCATGTTTTTGTTTGTTGCGGTTGCACCCGATTCAAAGAGCCGAATGGCTCACAGGGCTATACCAAATAAATGAAACTGAAACTGTCTGTCGATGTGTCTCCGTGTCTGTGTTTTCTGTCTCTCTCAAATTTAGCAATCTTTGGAAGAACGTAATCAACCGGTAGGATGTTGACTGTTGTGTTTGCCGACTCTCTGTGGTGTATTGCATTTTATTTTTAAGTTTACTAGGTTTGTTTTCTACCTGATGATGATTGCTTGTGTTGCAATCGAAACGTCGTATTCTATTATTTAATTTATTTTCTTTCTACCTGACTTTACCGAAAGAAGCAAAGAGTATATAGCTGCAGTTTATTCCATCACCTATTTTGTCAAAATGTGTTTAACATCTGCGGTATACCTGATATGTCTGTGTACAAGTAGCTCTGCGTGTGATGCGGCTCTCGAAATATTTTTGTCAAAGACAAAAACAAAAGGGAAGATAACATTTGTGATTTCATTTATTAACTCATATAGATTTCACCTGTGTATTGTATCGTTGTGCTTGATTACCTTACTCTCAACATATATCTTCACTTTATGGCATCCTACTCCATATTATCTTAATTTAAAAGTCAGATGCAAAGTTTAAGCTAGTTTTAAAAAGGGGGTACAGTAAAAAAAGGCATTTGGAAGGCCATTTAAAGTAACGAAATAGGTAAGGAAAATCGAGGTTTATTTTTATTGCAAGAACAAGTAACACGCCATAAGCTTCTGTTTTATCAACATTTAACACGTTTTACAGTATACATAAGCGAATCATATTTTTCTTTTAAGTAGAGAAAAAATTACGATGAGTTTTGACCACTTTGTTATTCAAAAGTTTAACTGTCTTAAAGTTCATTCTTCGGGCCTGTCAGTTCAATGGTTGATCTAAGGGTAGTCTGTTACCCTCATGAGCTTCTGCCGTCCCCCCACATCTCCCATCACTACTCCATCTCCCACCAGCACTCCAATCCATCACTCATCCCCTTCCACCCCCATCCCCTATCACCGCGCCTTCCTGTACATCAGCACGTACGCATTAATAAGATGTGGTACACTTCTTACAGTTTATTGCCTAAGTTATGCTAAGTCTGTCTCTATTGATACCATTGTCTCGTCATATGCTTTGGTCTGTGATGAATAGTGCTAGTCATCTTCATTATCAACTGAAATAAATAAACACTTCTTTGACAAATATTTTCAACACTGTTCACAATCAGGAAATTCAGCCCTACTTACCAGCCATTAAAATTAGATATCTCTGTAGACCCCCACTGCCGTCTTCATCTGTGAATTATCTTTTCAAGCTAATGCTAAATGCATTCACACATGAAATGTAATTAACTGAGCTTAAAACACTATGTGAAATGTATCACTGACACTTCAAAGAAATTGTGTAAAACTAAAAAACTCGGTAAGACAAACATCAATTCATTTTGTTTATTCAGCATGCACGTGTCCATGATTCTAATAAAAAACACCAGTAATATTACAGTCTAATGCAGTAATAATAGAAGCAACTCAATACCAAGCCTTTGGGCTAAATGTAGTTTTTAAATTAAAACTATTGTCAATGACAGTTTGAAAAAAAATGTAGTACTCTATAGTTAAATTTTCTTGCTGTGGTTTTCACACCTGATGATGATTGCTTGTGTTGCAGTCGAAACGTCGTGAGAATTTTATTGTTTTATATTTTTATTATTTCCCTTCTCCGTGACTTTACCAAAAGAACCAATAATATGAATCCCTGCAGTCACGAAAGCTGTAAATCAAAATTTACTTTATAGTCGTGACATTAATTCATACAACCCCATTGTCATGACTTTCAATTTGACATAATTTGAAAGTTTGTAATATATCCCAAAGAAAAATGTACACACAATAATGTAATCAGACACTATCTAGAAACCATAATAGAGTGAATAGCAAATGAACATTCTTAAGTATGCCCAGACTGGTCCTAAAGTCCTGTCATGTTACACTGTCCACACAAGGTGCAGTCATTTGAGGTTAGTGAATACAGGATTAAACCAGCTGCTTACACCTGTTTTAAAATAACAGTTGGGATGCAGAATACAGGACACTGTTGAATCACCGTACTTGTGTGCAATTTAGTAGCAGCTTATTGACCATTGAAAGTTGAATTGCTTCATAATCCAAAAACAAATACGGTTATTGTAATACGTGACAGGAAAAAGTGAACCCATAAGATGATACATCATGTGGTTATAACCACATTTGTGTGGTTGTAACACATTCAGTATTTCGACAAACTGGATTTGGGTTCAATTACGGGCAGCGACCTGTTATAATACAAGTTTCTAAAGTGTTGTGAGTTAATGGTCTCAGCTTGGTCACCAATGACTGCATGAAAAACCCATCATAAAAAAATGTATTTCTGACATTGTGAGACATTTCTGACTGAGAATTAAATATTTCACTTTGACTGCCGTGTAATGAACATTTTTAAAGTTGTTTGATATGTATGCATTCGTCGTGCAAATTGAAGGTCACTTGATGAATCAAGTAAGTAGTTGTGATGTCAACTTTCGTGGGCTATTCTTCTGCATATCGTGATGCACTCTTCTGTGTGGATTGCCATCTCATCACATAACACCAGCAGCACATTTTTGGTTAGAAAATATACATGTAAGCTTGATAGAATCAGTTTAAACACAAATGCTTGGCGACAATTCTTACATGTTGACATGCATTGTTTACTCTTGAATGTCTTAATGGAATCACTTTGGAGTTTTCGAGATAAGAAGAATCTCGCATTTTTCGAAATTCAAAAAATGCCCTTGGCTTTCAGCTCCTCCTGTACACGCTTCAGGTAATCACGATCTGGATATCCATAGCTGAAATGGCAACAAACAGTAAACACACTTCAATATCAACATGTGTTTAATATAATCTGTTTCATTAATTTGCATGGTATCTATTGTCATATAACATGTTAGCTGAATATCCTTCTAGAGATATAGTAAAATACACTAAACAGTACATTACCATTTGTAATCAATACGTTATTTGCTCCCTATTGCAAAAGTAAAGTCATTAATGGAAAACTACAATGAGAAAAAAATGCAAGTAGATGAAGCTCGCAAAACTTTTACAATATTTATTTGAACAATGCAAACCCAGTATGGTGAAGAGATCCTAGGCTGCTATGTTATAAACGTTGTCCTTGTTATGCATTTTTTCACAAGCATGCCTTTTAAAATAATATTACATTATTGAGCTTCATTACAGCAAAATGTGGCAATGTTGGAGAGAACGTAAATGAATAATACAACTTTAAATAATCATTCCTAATTAAAAGGAAGCAAACACACGTTTTAATCAGTACAAAACGAAAACGTATCAGTCCTTGCCTGTCAGCTCCTCCATGTGTGCTAGTTTTATGGTGGATGTCATTCCACGTGACACAGTCCTGCAGCCCGGTGGTTGACGATGTCCCAATAGTGAAGATGAGCCTCTGATGAAATGCCCGCTGGAGGAGGCTGAGTACATGCCTCCCCTCTTGCGAATCAGGTAAATATGCTTTTCTTGTTGTTCCATAATAAAGCTTCCCAGGATGTGGGTGCTCTGGCTACATGGCAAAATAAGCGAAAATAAGACAAGCGATATAACAAATGTCGTTTATTCACAAAACTGTAACATTATTAGTACATGAGTTGTCTTTGCACCTAATTCAAGTGCACTTAATATACTAACTATTTATATCAAGTACTTACCCCCTGTCTGCCATTTGGGATGTCATAGTTTATTGTAATGGTTCCATACTTCTCATATCCTGGCAAAGAAGTTTTGTAGTAAGTCGTTACCTTCATTGAGGCATCCTTTGGTTGATCACCTTCTAGTTTGCCATAAACTGTCTGGCAAATTGGACATACTGACTTTAACTTCATTGACTGATCAATGCATTCCTTGCAGAAAGAGTGCTTACATTTTTCCAGGGATGTTTTACATGTGAAATCATCCATACATATTGGGCATTTGTCTTTATTGTTTTCTTGGTTTGGTTTTGCAGTGGGGATCGTGCCAGAATTCATGGTCACGTGAGCATTAGGTTTATTTCTTTTTGATGAGGATCCATGACTAAAACCATATAATGTTTCATACAGCAGATCCCGTGCTTTCTCAACCTGGTCTACATCTCCTGCAACCTTTGCTACATATCCTACAACAGTCACTTCGGTCAGGCTTTCATCCTTTTGGAAGAGCATTTCTGGATATGATTTTTTCGCAGTCGAAATGGCATCATCAAGTTGTCTTTCAGGCAAGTCTTTCGTGATCTTAAATATGCTGTGTCGAATGTTTTTATTTTTGCTTTGAAAAAAATTTGTAAAAGCTTCCATAGCGTCATTAAACAAAAATGTGTTCTTGTCATTTGGATGCAACATTATATGCACTGTACTAATTTGACCAGGCATTCGTTTGACACTTATGTTAAAGTTATGTCTTTTTTTCAGCTGCTCTAATTCATCTTTAAATATTTCCATAACAAATTCAGAGTTAATTTTTGAAGCTTGTAAAAGTTCAGTGTTTGACTGTCTTGAGTCTTTAACATAGCCAGGCGTTTGATGTATCTTCGAAAATGATGCTGTGTCTTCATTGCTCATGCTACTTTTTGTTTGACTTTGCAAATCTTTGAAAAGTTCATCTTGAGCCCGATCAACCTCTTTGTAGTTGCCTGTAAAAATAATATGAGGTGGTGATTTCCTTATCACAACACTGGTGAAATGCTGTTCGGTTTTACTGAATAATTTATCCAACACAACTGGATCCATTGCACTTGCTTCATCTGGAATCAGTGTTTTCAACTGCTGGACATTTGTAGCGACATATTGGTACAAATCAACCATGTGCTCAACTGCTTCAGCCGTTGGCTGCTCAATTCCATACCCGTTAATCTCAAGAAATGTCTTTTGTTGATCAATACTCTTTGTTGTCTTTATCGTAAATTGGTACTTGCGTTTCAGATGATCAAGATCTCTGTTATAAACTTTAGAAAGGTATTTAAATATATATTCATCCACTTCCAGTGTGTTATGACCTGATGCTGACTTGGCTTGGTGGCCTGCGTTTTCCAGATTACTTTGTGAATGTTTCTGAAAAAGAGAATCACGTTCAAAAACAACAAAAGTTGGTGTTATTCAGCTTGAATATATATCGTTGCGTGTCACCAGCCAGTGTGACCACATGATGGTTTTAAAACATTCCTGTCAACTCCTTCCTAGAGAACATTACTTTTCTGCTTGATAATTCCGCACAGCTGCCAGAGGCTGTGACCAAAAAAATATGCTTCAAATATAAGTATCAAAAATGTCCATTTATGAAAGAATTATGAAATACAATGTTCAACACGAAATGCTGTAGCGTTCAATACACATTGATTTGAAGCTTTCGTGACTGCAGGAAATCATACTTATTGGTTCTTTCGGTAAAGTCACGTAGATAGAAAAATAACTAATAGATCACGACATTTCGACCGCAACACAAGCCATCGTCTTCAGGTGAAACAATACAGCAGGCGGACTGCTGAGGCAGGAGGAAATGTAGCAAGAGAGCTACTGCTACTACTAGTTAAAAAAACTTGTTCCCTCTGTAAATTTCACCCCCACCCTCTCGCCCGTTACATTTACTTGCAAATTCCATCCCTAGCCCCACCAACTTACCCTTGGGTTGTACCCACCACAAACCCATATAACCTCTGGTTGCAGCAGCTCTCTCGCTACATTTCCTCCTGCCTCAGCAGTCCGCCTGCTGTATTGTTTCACCTGAAGACGGTGGCTTGTGTTGCGATCGAAACGTCGTGATCTATTAGTTAGTTTTCTATCTACGTGACTTTACCGAAAGAACCAAAGAGTGTTTTAATACATAGTTATCATTATACTGGATAAACAGGGCAGTGAGGGCTGACTATAGCGGGTTGCAGTGCCCAGGACAAATACCACTGTGTGGGCCCCCGATGCCTTCAAACTGAACCTGAAGCATTACACCTGGCACTGTGATATCGATCGAAGCACAACCCCCCCCCCCCACAAGGGCGGGGTCTCGGGCAGTCGCTCTGACTCTCCGTACTATAGGAACGGCTCTGTGTACAAATACTCTTCTTTATTGTGCTAATAAGACAATTGGATTTCACAAAAAGTGTGAATCAACAAAGCAAATATTTACAACATTAAAGGACTTTGTTGGAAGTGTTTATTGCAACTGAGGGCCATTGCCTGGTACAATACCTTATTCTTATCATGTGGTATTCATGATCGTGGTTAGGTTTTATTTTATTTGAACAAAGTATATCAAGCTTAAAGATTATAAATAGCACACCTCTGGGTGACACCACCCAACCCGAGCCAACAGCAGGCAGGCTTACAAATGGTAACTAATTAGTTTAACACATAGGCTTTCGCGACCAATATTATTCATAATAATGGTTTTTGGGTTAGATGGCGTTATTTATAGATGTGTTCTAACCCTCCACCACCCGACACGGCCAATCAGCAAAAATGTGTCACGTTGACAAAAGACAAATAGTTCACTACTTTAGCCCACCGGTGTGTTGAAGAGTGAATCCACAACATTTACAGTTTGAGTATGACGTTTCGCTGGTAATTACAACCAGCCTCATCAGGCGATATCTAGAATTGGCTATTCAGGTGCACCTGAATGAGTTAAATTATGACGTCACCCTGCTGCTCTATTTAAGACCGGGAGCAAGTGAGGGCTTTACCATTCTGGCGAATTGCCTGATGATGCTGGATGTAATTACCAGCGAAACGTCGTTCTCAAACTGTAAATGTGGATTCACTCTTCAACACACCGGTGGGCTAAAGTAGTGAACTATTTGTCTTTTGTCAACGTGACACTTTTTTGCTGATTGGCCGTGTCGGGTGGTGGAGGGTTATGACACATTTATAAATAACGCGATCTAACCCAAAAACCTCTATTATGAAATGGTAACTAATATTGATTCTAGGCCTAAATCATGTTCATCCTGTATCCTAAATTAGGACCAGCCTTGATGCTGAACTGCTGAGGAATATGTACTTTTGCGAATCCCATATTTAACTGAACTTACGTATTGGTTTTACAGGTTTAAATTTAATGTACTATATTTGGTCAAAGTCTAAATTAAAAGTCTCTTTCTGATCAAATTACCACTGGGCTGCACTCAATTCTATCGGTGGCCCAGAGCCAGTAGGGAAATTTGGAATGCCTATGAGAGAACACGTCTTACAAATGTTGGCTGCTTGTGACTTGATGCTCATATTATCGATCTTCGTGAGTGATAGACGTAACGCCTGACCGGGATATGAGCTTGTGATTTTTTGTAAGTTAATCACTCTGCCAGAGCTGGACAATAAAAACATTTTTCTCATTAAACGTATCCACTTCACTTTAGCACATGCCCAATTTGAACAATTGAATGTACCCCGGCCAAAATATTGCATGGTCTACAATTAACATTGTAAAACAGACTGTAGACCACATTAAAACTGTACTACATTACAACACTAAAAAGTGTGGAGATATATTGGTATCAGTGATATCTTCAATATTGTATTAAATTTTGTCAGTTCCGCACGATAAAGTACCTGTTTATTTTCACTGTATTTTCTTGTCGGATATTTGTTGCTGTCTATAAAGACATCCACATCTGAAAGAAAAAATTATTTGTAAGTGCTGCATTCCATTTTCAATCGTTCATATTTTAAAAGTCAATAATCGTATGCAAGCTACATCTCAAAATATATCCTTTGCATTAAGTTGTAATTGCACACAAGCAGAGGTGTTAATCCACCAGTTTTAACATGCTAATATCTAAATCAATATCCAGGAGAGGACAAAAGTTAAAAACCAATTATGATGACAGTTGTATACAGTGCTGTACTGAGTTACCGTACTTTACGTTATATACATATTCTTAAGCACGTAACTTAATCCTATATTGTATTACACTGAAACTATTTATTGTCTCCCACTTATCCATGAATTATATTTATTTGCGACCCTGCCAATGGATACGAGTTCTATCAGCGTTTTACCATTGATAAGCTGTATCCTGTGCAGCCCGTTTATCCTACCCACCACGTGCGTGTTAGGGATTATCTGACCATACTTCACCAGGCTGGCCACTGTGGGTTGGTGAAAATGGGGAGCCTAGACGCCGGGGCATTGTAGAGTACAACAATTATTTTTTCTGCACTGCCCTCTGCTGAAAACACAACCCTGTAGCAACCTATAACAGCTGTTTGTGCGTGGTGATTGCCCATTCAAGCTATAGGTGTGACTTAGCTTCCAAGATCTGACTTAGATCGGGCGCACTCTGGGTGATTTGGTCAGGCGGTGTCACTAATGCATTGAGTGGAAGGCTCATCCTCCTTACTGTAATTTACCTTTGGCTCTGGCAAAGGCAATGAGAGCCTCATCTGCATTGTCGTTGTAGGGGTAAATAACTCCACAACAAACATTCCTTTCATGCTCATCCTCAAGCCGTCGTCTTATTTCATAGTTCCTGAGATGAGCTGATGTCATAAGTTTCACGGAGCTGATTATCACAGCATTCTGCAGCCCCAACTCGGCAGTCCAAGACTCATTCCCTCCAGTTGCCATGGCACACCGCCGCCTGCCAGCACACAAAAACACGTGCGGACGCAATTTTAGCGACATTTAAGTCACGTTACAAAAGGCGATCCCATTGATTTTCCGTTTCGCTCATGGAATCTATTTGACATTTCGGTTAATGTAGCGATATTTCGGTGAGCGTAATGGCTACATTAACTCCCCTCTGGTCTTCGCACCTGATAGGATCACGGTGATGGCATCAACTTTACTCAATTTAAGACCGAAACTGAAGGACTTCTTTACAATTCTGGATAATCGTCTGATGAGGCTGGTTGTAAATGTTGTGGGTTTGCTCTCCAACACACTCGGTGTGCTGAAGTAGTAACCGATTGGCACGTTTGGTTTACGTGACAAACCTTACTAATTGGCAGTGTCGGGTTGTGGCGGGTTTAACGACACGTTTATATTTAGGCGATCTCACCCAACAAAACCTTTTATGTAATGTAGCGACGTCTTGCGGTCACACTAGGGCTCACGCCGTAGGGGAACTCCATTTCAAATCAAACATAAAATCCCACCAGTGGTGCTGCACTTCGTCATGATTTACAATACGACTACAGCCCTTCCCCAATCCACTGCTGAATGAAGACCTCCGACCCGAGGTCACGTTGCTCGCGGGGGGAGGGGATGATTGACCATACTTCACCACGCTGGTCACACGGTGCGGGTTGGTCAATAGGGGCAGGGAGGGAGGGAACTGGTGTTGGCCTGGGTCACTGCGCAGTGGAGTCCAAACAAAGACCCCCCGTATAGCCTGCAACAAACTATTGGGGCAAGTGCTGTGATCGAACACCTATGAAGAGTCCGGCGCGGCACACGAGCCGGGGGGGGTGGGGGGGGGTGGTGGCCAACAACCACGCCCGGCCGCCTTTGTCTCCCACCGCAGTGGCGATGTTTACACACCGCAACGGGTACTCGTTTGCGGCTGAGTCGACCTAGGGGTGGCCCACGGCCGACTCGGTTCAGAAACAAAAAGAGAGTAAAATTTTGACTTGATTCGAAGCTTTCGTGACTGCAGGAATTACTCTTTGTTTTTTTCGGTAAAGTCACGTATAAATAAGAAATAATAAAATAACACAAAGCTTTCGTGACTGCAGGGATTCATATTCTTGGTTCCTTCGGTAAAGTCACCACGTAGAAGGGAAACAATAAAAGAAAATAAAAAAGAAAAAAACAATACAATTCTCACGACGTTTCGACTGCAACACAAGCAATCATCATCAGGTGTGAAAACCACAACAAGAAAATTTGAAAAAAAAAGGGGAGAGAGTCGCCCGGTGTTTGTCCCCGTGGAGCGCCTTCACCGCTCGCAGCCTTCAAACAATCCGCCAGATGTCGCCAGGAAGGACGTGGAAGGTCGTTCAATTGGGAGCAGCAAACTGATGAAGAGGGGGGAGGGGGTGCAGGAATCATCATTTGTTTTAACCTACGTGACTTTACGTAGGTTAAAAAGAGTATGGATCATTGCAGTCACGAAAACTTCAAATCTAGAATTGGAGGAGTGGGGGGGGGGGAGGAATCTCGCATCACCTCCTCGTCGCTAGGGGTCCAGTGACAAAATCAATCGAAAGGTTGACGAACAATGGGGGCCAGTGAAATGTTGACGAAACTAATTGTCAACGAAAACTTTTGTTGTTGTTGTTGCGCAACCACCGCCCAATCCGATAATTGTAACGCGGTTTTTGTTTTCACTAACAAGTCCATGACCTCGGCTAGAGGTTTGCCGTACGTCGACGTTAATCGATGTTGACTGGATGCATCTAAAGGGGATGGCAGTACTACAACAACAATAACTACAACAATAACTACAACAATAACAACAACAATAACAACAACAGGGTGCGTGGCGTGCAGCAAAACAACATACGCACGACTCGGGACTGTGACACAACGAAACCGCGACCAGCGTGGCGAGAAAGACATTGAACGCGACCCGTGTCCCCAATGCAACACAACACCAACCATCAACAACACAAAGACACAGACACACACACAAAGACACACGGACACACACACAAAGACACGGACACACAAAGACACACGGACACACAAAGACACACGGACACACACAAAGACACACGCATGTCGCATGTCAAAAGCCATTGCGAATTACGGGCCAACTCTTTCGGTTCCGCATCCTTCATCCGGAGCGCAACGCACACGGCAGACGCCTGAAACCCTTCTCACTCACTCACTGGGCTTTGGTCGATGTGGCTGGCGAGCGGCAAACACAACAAACTCACCCGAGACACGCGTCCCGCTCACCTCGATCTGCCACAACCAGCAGAGGAGGAGGTGGAAGAAGAGGAGGTGGAAGAAGAGGGCTGTGAACCCAGAGAGGAGACGAACACCGCGGGTCAAGCGGCACCGAGGAGGAGGAAGTCGTGCGGCGTTGCGCAAAGAAACCCTCAAGTGACGTGGCCACGGGTAATTTACAGGAAGGGGGGGGGCTTGGAACTCTTTGGGCAGACACAGAGGCAAGGGGTGTTTGTGTGTGTTTGTGTGTGTGGTGGTGGGGGTGTCTTGTCCCAGTGCTGTGTCTCGCCAATTCTGTGAGTGTCAGCAGTCGTGCGTTACTTGACGAGGCAGCCGTGTGTCACGGGCAGCCGTGTCCGTCGCCCGACCCCCGCGTCGTTCTCTCGTTCTTTGCTCCTTGACTGCTTCGTTTCCCCAAGTGCGGCTTCGTCTCCCCAAGTGCGGCTTCGTTCCTCGTCGATCCCTGCGATGTGTCGGATTTAGTTGATCCGAGTCGTCGCGGACATGGAAGTTTCGGAGGACCTCGCGTGCGTAATCGAGGGCATTCCAGGCCCTGGCCCCCTTAACGGCGATGTGAAGAGAAGCCTCGCCAACTACTTTGAAATCAAGAGGAAATCTGGCGGAGGGGATTGCACCGTCGAGGAGAAAGATGGAACCGTCGTGGTGAGGTTCAACAGCGGAACAGGTAAGGCAAGAAGAAGGTGGTGATGTCCAAAGCGCACCGTGTGGTGATGTCCAAAGCGCAGTAAACATCTGGGCCACCGTGTGGTGATGTCCAAAGCGCAGTTAACAACTGGGCCACCGTGTGGTGATGTCCAAAGCGCAGTAAACATCTGGGCCACCGTGTGGTGATGTCCAAAGCGCAGTTAACATCTGGGCCACCGTGTGGTGATGTCCAAAGCGCAGTTAACATCTGGGCCACCGTGTGCTGATGTCCAAAGCGCAGTTAACATCTGGGCCACCGTGTAGTGATGTCCAAAGCGCAGTTAACATCTGGGCCACCGTGTGGTGATGTCCAAAGCGCAGTTAACATCTGGGCCACCGTGTGGTGATGTCCAAAGCGCAGTTAACATCTGGGCCACCGTGTGGTGATGTCCAAAGCGCAGTTAACATCTGGGCCACCGTGTGGTGCTGCCGCCGCAAGGTGGCCCAGATGTTAACCTCCTCGCCCGGTATGCAGGAGGTCATTGGGTTCGATCTCGACTTTGACGCCTGCTTGCTGTGTATTTGGAGTTCGCGTGTCTCTCTCTCTCCCCTGTGGATTTTTCCTCCGGGTGTTTCCCCTCCACATTTAGAAACACGGCGTTTGGAGTATTTGGCTGCGTTTACATTTCCACGCGACGATAAAGCCACTTCGTTGAGCTATCATTTGTGATAGCCAGGTCGCTTCTGAAAAAGAGCGTTATAGGTCAGTGGGCCTTAACCTGGTAAAAGATATATTTTTAAACATTGTAGTTTAGTGTCATCGGTTAGTTTAGTGTGTGATAAGATCACGCCTCTACGTACCAGCGCTTTGGAGGGGATAGGTCGGTGGATCACACGTAGACAAGCCCCGCCGGCAGTACTGTGGGTTCGTGAACGCATCTGTGCGGAAATTATTTAAAAGCGTTATCCCCTCTTGTTCTTAATGGGTTGTCTCCGGGTAACTCCGGTTTCTTCCCACACGAGGCAAAAGCACTGACAATGGCCAAATGAATAATGGGTAAAACCTTTCTTCTTTGAGCTGAATCTCTAAACCGCTTTTTCATGAGTCAATCCACACTCTTTGGTTCTATTCGGTAAAGTCACGTAGGTAAAAAATAAAACAACAAAAATGAAGGCCACTTGTGTTGTGGCCGAAACGTCGTGATTGTTGTTGTTTTATTTTTTACCTACGTGACTTTACCGAATAGAACCAAAGAGTATGGATCCTTGCAGTCACGAAAGCTTCAAATCTAGAATAGTCAATCCATGTTGTGTTGGATGAATGAATACATTGTGTGTGTATGTATGTACACACACAATGTATATATACACGCACACATCTCAAAAGTGCTGTAACACCGACCTGAACGTCAACAAGTTCGTGTATTTTTCATGATGTACGTGTGTCCTGATGAGCTCTCGACCAAAATGTCAGGGATTTCCAGTGATATACTTCCTGTTTCTGCTGCGTTGTTTCATCGCCCTGAGTGTGATATCTGAAGTCGAAATACACGGTGTTTTTATATATTTGGTTGTACTGTACGACATATTTAGGGGATTTCCGACCGTGGTGACCAAGCAGGTTTTTTGGTGTCTCTGTCGAGTTGATCAATGCGCCCTCTGGCGGTGGCAGTCCTCTAATGCTGCGGGGTTGATAACTGAGAGTGTTTATCTCTCTCTGCTTTCCCAAAACGACTACCAAAATATACTCCACCAGTCAAAAGTGTCTCCCTGGTCCAATGAGCACTGGAGTGATGTTCATCTCTGTTTGCAGCCGTGAGACAGTGTATGCATGTCGCACTTCGTTCGCACCGTACTTAGCCAACCGTTCTCATTCGAAGGTGCGAAGTCAGGAACAACCCAAACACAACAGTGCGGGAATTCCCATTTCAGTGTCCCAAATTCCAGGATGCAAATGCCTCCTCACACGAATAAAAATTGTGCAACCTCATCGAAACGAGATCACAGTGGAAACGTTGAGTTCACTCCTAGACGTCGTGCTGCCTTCAGCTTTTAAAGTAAAAGATTGTGCTAATTTTTGGGCAATCGATGCACCATCTGTTAGTTTGCAGTGCTGTCGGTATCATCCGTGTTATTTCATTATCTAACATCTTTTTACATCAAATACTGTATTACTGTATATCAGTTGTTTCTTAATAAAATTGTATCGGTCCTTAGGGAAGACGACAGGAAACCACCTGAACTATCTATCCTTCCAAAGTTAGGGCTCATGAACCATGTTATTGGAGTGTTATATGAGATCCATATTGGCGCATGGGATCAGGATGGGGATGAAGGAGCTTGAGCCAGTGATCATTCCTTCGGGTAAGAACTTGAAATTAATATAAAGTCATGGTCCACACGGTTTGCTACACCTGTGTGTCTTGGTCTGTATTTTTGTTTTTCAGTGCGAGACCGTGTTCTGCAACGGAACACGCACACTATCGAGCTGCCCGGGTTTGGCACGACGCATTTGAAACTCCAGCCCTTTTGTAAAGTGCCACCAGTCCCTCCAGTGAGCTGCACACTTCAACCACATATGTCATATTGACTGACAATCCAGAGTGAGATGGACAGCTGTAACATTGCATTTCGTTTGTAGCAGTGGAATTAATTTATCTATTTTCAAGTGGAGACTAAATGTGATCGAAATGCGAGATGGCCAGAAGTTGGCATTACAGGAGAGAACATGGGCTCTTGAATCCATCTTGGGAAGACCTTTGAGTGTTACTCCACTGTACTTATGATTTATTTCTGGATAAATCTGGTTTCCTCTCACAAGCAAAACAATCATAAATGAAATGGGCAAATATATCAAAACAAGATCCTCCTGGTAAAGTGAGGTTTTTCTGAGTAAATACAAATTATATCATTACTTGGTTGATACCCTGGTCTTTATTATGCCAATGCAATGCACCATGTGTATATAAATTCTTACACATACATATGTATTTTAAAACTATACAGGTACAAGGAAAACACATCATACATATGCATGCTTGAAAACAACAATGCAATGATGCATTTTACCTGATATGGCATATGGATCACAACACATTTCCATTAACTTAAAAATGATAAGTTTGCAAACAATGGAAAGTATTCACAGAAGCACGGAGAGGTGTAATATTAAAATTACACATGTATTAGAGAAACACAAAAGTTAGAGGCATCACGTTTCTCTTCATGCATCAGTGGACAGATAGACAGAAAGTTAGAGTGCTTATGGAAAGCTAAACTCAAGCATCAAACGTAACATACTAATGTGCCTAAAGAAAGTTTTAGTTCTTTGTGTACTACCCACTATTGATAACAGATCAGAGTAAATGATCATCGTCAATGAAAATGGATCAAAATCTGAAAAAGTTTACAACAAAGCATGGAAAGACGATGCATGCTTGGAATTACAATACGGTATATAAAGGGATACGCATGGATTAGAAAACATGTGCAGTTCGAAGTCATAATTCAAAATATGCAATTTAAATTGAATGGGCTTGGGCAGGGAAACATCGCAAGAGGAGATGATCGCCATGATGAAGAATGACAATAGCAGCCGAGGAAGGAAAAAACATCCAGGAGGGTATCCGGGGAGATGCTGAGATGAAATCAGCTGACACTGAGGGGTTTATTACATTCAGGATCATGAGAGATGGTGGCGATTTGAGGCTTCAATCCAGCAGTCGATACACTATGGCTGTTGACTGATGTAAAATTTGTTTTATCTCAACAGAAATCAGAGTCAAGTTCAACAACAGATGCAAATGGTTTGTGTACATTATTACATAAATACAGTTGCAGTATTGTACTCTATTATTTTAAGTTTGCTTTTCCAGTGTCCACGTCCTTTAAACAAATATATATTACATTTACATGTCTTCATGATCATGTGCTATAATGTGCTATACAGTGTCTTGAAATGCAGTTTGATTTTGATTTTTGCTTATATTGTAGAAATAACACGTGAAGATCTTGATTCATCTACATTTGTAGAAGGGGTAGTTGTGTGTGGTGCTGACGAGTTTGGAGATGAATACCTGAAGCTATACGCAGAGAATGTCACAAAGGAGCCAGTTGATGTCTACCCCCTAACCAAAACCAAACTATGGCTGGACTGCAGCCAGGAAGGTAAGCACTGTTCGCCATCATGACCCTGGTGTGTCTACAACCAGACTTTCGTAGAGGAAATGCCTAATTTTACATACAGAATATCTCCGATGCAGCTTATGTGTGATTGTTTTGTATATGTTTGTTACATTATTGCTAATGGCATATTAAAACAATAATCTAAGAATCCGATGAAAGAAAACAACGTCTTACATTCTAACCAATTAGAGGTTACATTATTTATTCAATAAACCCTTTGTAATACCTATTTTCTTGGGTTATTAATTTACTCTTTTCAATGTTTGCAACATTACGTTTTTATCAACAGCTGTACAGAAGATGCAAGCAGTTAAAGAGCATGCCATTGGAAATAAA